CCAAAGTTTTCTCCATGTTGTATATGAGTGGGAGAGGAACATTTGTGATTTTGTTTACTTCTATTGATGCTCTGCCCCTTGTAGAATAACACTTATCAAATTCTCTTGTCTTCCATTCAAGCCTATGTTTACCATAGGCTAGACTAAAGAACAATAGAATTTTAAAAAAGAAAACCCCTGTGAGACCAGGATCATCTTCATATTATTATAGCATATTATATATTGTGTCTGGGATGCTTACAGAAGCCTTGCAAGTTAAATTGTATTATTATGCCCATAAATATACGAGGGCTGAGCATGCAAGAGTACTTGTTTGCCTAAGTCATTTGGAGCATTAGTTTAACATGAGATTTGAAGCAGGGAGGTCACATTATGGCTTTTTGTTAACACCAAATGCCACAAACCAGGTACCCATGGTTTGTGAACCACTGCCAACCCAGCATCTGAAACCATGGTTTGATGGTTTATAACCCATACTTTGCAATCTATTGACCCGTTTCATACATAACAGTAAGCTGGCATTCTGAAAAACTATAGCTTATTTCTTCCTCAACAAGCCAGGATCAGAACCCATGGTTTGTTGCTGGTTTATGACTCAGGCTTGCTAGTGGAACAATAAGATGGTGTTCTGGTTTTGCATATTATGGTAAGCAAACCACAGATGGAAAGACTGTGGTTTGTTTATCCACTGCTACTTACAGAGGAAATGATGAAGACGACCCGTAATGCTTGCAGTGGATCCATACACACTGTTCATAAACAACAAGCTGGGCCTTATTGTGATGTGTGAACTCACCTATAGTGTAACATACCTGGGTTTTTTTGGCTAGAGTATTGGATTTACTAGAGCCTGCCTAACGGTTACATTTCCCATGCTGAACGTGGCCATGTGTAAAGTGAGCTTCATCTGCTGAGAATTCCAGAGCTCCCCCAGAGATAACCAGAGCAGACAGGAAGGCACTATAGAGAAATGCTGAGGTTGGCACCGTTGTTCTGTGCTTGTTTCTCATTTTGTAACTAATGGCCTGTAGGCATTGGGAAAGGGCAAGAACACTTCGCTACTACAGAACAGTAAATTAAGTAGACATAATGGGCTCTGCCAGCAGTTCTCAGAAGTGGAACAACCTGGGCTCATGTCCCACTTACCAGTGGGAGCTTTTCTCTTGGTATAAATAGCAGCTGTGGGACAGAGATGGGGCGGGTCAGACTGGGGTGTGATGCCCAACTCCCCTCATGTCATGAACCAAATCCAGCCTCCCCCCCCCCCCCCCACTATTACAATTGCTATTTACTCCCCACAAAGATGGCACTGCTAGTAAACCATGACATTTACTGGGTGACCTTGGGCCAGTTAGTGTATACAAGCATAACCTATTGACAGGGTGTTGAGAGAAGAAAATAGAAGTAACTGTGTAAGCCTCCTTGGGGAGAAGGGTCCGAATAAATTAGTCATAAATAAATAGATTACATGGACTCATGAATATTTTCCCCTTCCAGAATGAAAGGATATGAGTTTCACCACAACAAGGGAGCATAAAGCTTAGTAATATCATATGGTGAGAGCCCTAAATTACTGACATAATACATAGAAATTTAGATGAAGCAGTATTTTTACTGCAAATAGCTCTTCATACTTCTGAGATAATTGCAATGTGCATTTTCTATCTGGGGCAGCTGTTGTTTCCCTTATAGTACTAATACCAGTGACATTATAACTGACTCATTTTTAAAAGAGCCTGCAAGTAGATCCAGTGGTTTTGGTCAAAGCCCCAAGGAGCTTAAAATGTAATATCCTGTCTCTTATGATAAATTATACACATAAAACATTGGCAAATGGTTTGAATTTTCTTTCTCTGAAAGTGTATGCAGCATTTTGGAAGAAATTATTAACAGAGCTCTAAAAAAGAAGATAAAGCAGAGCTTTGATTTTAGGAAAAGGAGGAAAGACCGAGGGCTTCATAGGAAAGGTTTAGTTTTTTCCTGCACACCTTCTAGGTGAATACTAAGCCACCCCGAGGCTTTTTGCGAATGGTCTAAATAAATAAATAAATAAATGTTGATTGTCTTTCTTTACATTAATCTGCCCTTGATAGCCCAACTCCATGTTATTTTGTATTATGGTTTGATATGGCCCTTGAATTATTAAGAGTTTCTACTTACTTTGGCCAAAGTTGCTATGTCCTTACCTTCACCCTTTCCAGTATTTTACTTTTTCCATTTCTTGAACTCTAGGCAACTTAGATGCAGGGAAATACTGATGTCCCATCCCTTGATATCACTATTAAATTAATTTGGTCATTGCTCTGTTCTCCAGGCTCCCTGGGCAATGTTCAAATGGTTTAAGGAAGATGGAATATTTATTATCACATTAAATTATACTCATTTTAAGGCCTTGTTCACTGTTCTGGATATCAGTAATCTGGACTAAATCATTCCTCCCAATGTTGTTGGTATTAATGTGTTTCATTTAGACTTGATATTTCAGAATCTGCTTCTTTTTATTTCATGTCAATGACAATCATCCATAGGGGAGCATGGCCATTTAGGAAGTGATTTTATTAGGATTGTTTCCACAGTAACAGACAAAGAAAAGGTATTTTACAGTCCTTACGCTTGTCATTTCATCAGATTTGTGAAGTAAGCCAAGCATCATCCTCATTTAACAAAGCAGGGTCAGCATCGCAAAGCTGAGCAACATGTTCCCAAGAAAGCATGCATAGGATTGCAGACTAAAAGTGACTTACGCTTGAGAAGTGCACATGGAAAATGGTGGGGAAAATAAGTGTATAAAGCAGGGAAGAGGGCGCAACAGCCTATTAATTTTGCTATTGTTCCTGCTATGCAGAATGTGCAACTCATGCAGTGTCTACATTCTTAACAACAGGGAAGGATCAGGATGAGCCATGCATGGGTCACTTGTTGCTGACATGTGCGAAACAGGTGCACCAAAAAATGTTTCCATGCAGAAGCATTCCTAGGAAATGTACATAAAGTGTCAGAGAATGGGATTGTTGGTTCATGCATGCACATGTGCATCAGGTTCTAACTAATGATAGAAATTTGCACATTTGAGACCAAAGAGCATTTCATGGGATAAAATATAAAGACCAACTGACATGTGCACATTCTTCAAGATAGGAAATCATGAATTGTAGGATGTGACCTGTTTTATGAAGGAAGTCTACTTGTGAAATGAATCTTCCAGAAGTATCAGAAGCCCAACTCGCTCATAGTCACTTCTATGACTAAACTAAGGTGGAGCAAACTTAGTTGGCTTTCAGGCATGTTGGGCAGATGTTCAAAGAGTTTGGAGTAGAGGGGATCTTTGTCAAGACAAACCAGGTCTTTCTTAGCAGTAAGAACTCTCTGTATTCCATTGGGTTGGCCAGGGGCAAATAATATTTTTGTTTTTTCTTCATTTGATTAAAGTGCTGGACACAAATGCCAATGATCTGGTGACATGAAGGCACTGCTTTGATCCATCCTGAGCCTCTAATGCATGCTCAGTTCAAAAGCAAATAAGCTACTGAATGTTCAGCCAAGTTATGTTAGACCAGCTACCTCGGGCAGCTCTGAGAGAATGGGGTGCTTCTTTAGGGTAGAAATGAATGGAATATTGTGTAGCTAGAGAGCACATAGTTAAGCCCTTAGCTGTTTCAGTTTCTCTAAAAGCTCTAAAAATTAATTGCAGAAAATATGGGACTGCAAATTCTCCTAAACATGATCATACATATAGCTCACATAGAAAACTCTATGTGAAATATTTTATAAGTATAGGAATGAGTGTCATATGTGACTCAAATATTTTTTGCAAAAATGGCCATGTGTGCAACTGTAGATTCATGAAGACACTTATCAAGGAGTCAGAATGTAGCATTTGTTGTTCACTTAGGATAAGATTCTGTGTCATCCATGCCTGATGTAGGTAAGTCTCCAAGCACAGAGGCAGGACATAAGGCACCGTGGAAGCAATCTCCATTGTCCCACACTTCCTTCCGTGCATTTCATCTAAAGGGCAAAAACATCACAGGGGGGAGCAAAGGCCACAAGGGTGCTGCATGGACACAGTAGATGCCACCAAGCCCAGCCTTCTTGGCCCCCTGCCTTCCTGCTCCTCTTGGATGCCCCTTTAGCCCTCTCCAAGGCCAGTGCCTGACCTCAGAGAAGCAGCTGCCAAGGGTCTTTGGACACTGCCCATACTTTATTTAGCACCATCTCAATGCACAAGATCTTGCCGATATGGCACCTTGTAGCCTCTGTGTCAAGGGCTGGAACATCAATTAACTAAATGAATAAACTATTGATTCATAAAAGGTTATTGCTCAATACGTTTGCCTTAAGGTTGCCTCTGCAATATATGTATGTGATCTCACTCTTAGCAATACCCATTAGAGTCTTGCTACAGATTCTTTTTCAAATTGGGTTCCCATCCTTGCCTTTCTGGGTGCTCCAAGGCAGGGATGGATGAATCAGTCTTTTTCTGTTCCATGTCAGTTTTGTTTGTATTCAGTCATAAGTCTGTTCAGTCTAATTTCTGCTTTTCCATTTTTTTGGAAGCATGAAAGTGTACGCAATTTTTGCACACAATTTTCCCCAAGAAATGCATTTTATATGCAGCTTTCCCTAATACACATGCATTTGTGTAGCCAACATTCTCATTTTCATATGCAAGCCCAGAACTGCTTTGCATAATTCAAAAGTATGCAGCCCAAAAGAAAACTGCATGTTAGTCCCAGGGAGTGCAGGTTAGTGTCAGAGACCAGTCTTCCCCCTCTCCTTTCAAGCAGGTCAGGACAAGAGACTACTAACTGCAGTCTTTATTATGTTAAATGGGCCAACTAGGCTGGCCTTATGATAGGAAAAGGAAGTTCCATATATATCAGCATATAAAAAACATTTGAAACCTAAATTAGCAAAGCAAGAGAGCCGGACCTAGAGTGAGAGCAAATGCCTCTGCTATTTCTGTGTGGACTGATGACCTTCTCTGTCAATTTTAACAGGTTGAGTGGTTGAAGAATGAAGAGGTGATTGACCCTGTTGAAGATCGAAATTTTTACATCACGATTGACCACAACCTGATCATAAAACAGGCGCGCCTCTCCGACACAGCCAATTATACTTGTGTTGCCAAAAACATTGTGGCAAAGAGGAAGAGCACAACAGCTGCTGTCATTGTGTATGGTAAGGGAGCTCATGCTGCATCAAGCTGATGAAACTGCAGGCTGAAAGGTCTACTAAAGGTAGTCCGGAGCATTCTGCTATCCAGACAGTTGTTTTTCCCTGCATTTAGGACTATAAAAATAGAATATGCATCTAGTCATGTAGGTGTCAGCTAAACTGTATGTGCCTCCCATAGTTCTACATAAGCAAAGAAGAGCAAAGCTGCATTTTTGGTGGGCATGATCATTTGTTTAGGTATTTATATCCCTCCTTTTTGCAAATTCCTCAAGGTGGCTATCAAAATCAATAGCTGTAAAACTGTGAAACAATTTATAAAAATTGAATAGCCATCAGGAGATTCAGGACAGGATCTAGAATTGCAATATTTTGGGCACTTGGGCAAGACACCTTCAAGGCCCCCCATACTCTGTCCCACCACCATTGGCACTGGTAGCTGTTGGTCCTTAGTCTCCTTTTTATCATTAACTTACTTGCTTAACAGGAAGAGAACTACTAAGCATGAAATCAGTGACATCGACTCCTTCTTCTCATCAACACCATTTTCTGCCAGGGCAAGTGACATACGAAATGGGGAAGCAAGTCCAGAGGGCTTTTCTCAGTAGTCTGCTGGAGTGTGGGCCCTGGACAGGTTCCCAGCCAACACTGGGATTCCAAACAGATTCAAACTGTTATGACAACAAAAACAGTGAAACCAACAAGTCATTAGAACAATTCTCCAGTTCCAAGAGGGACACTGATCACAGAAGTAAAGCACCATTGAACAAGTCCTGGGACATATTGTGAAGCCTACAAACGGTATGAGAGGCATCCTGCAAATTACTTAGTGCCACAAATTTTGGTGCCACCACTGAGGAGGCTGTCTTTCTAGAACCCACCCTTCTTACCTCAGAAAGCACTCCAAAAATGAAGATCTTAATTGATGGGCTGTGTTAATTAAATATGAAGCAAATCAAATGGACCAAAACGGACTATAGCCCAACCACCAGGTAGTTTTCTTAGAGCACCTTCATGTGGAAGGATTCCTCACTCTCATGAACAACTCTAAAGTAATTGTACAATAGTACACATGTCGGACTCTTGCGCCTTTGGCCTAGCAACTGAGAGCAGGTTGGTGTTGCAGGTTTCAACCTAGTTTACGAATTAAAAATGAAACCTTTTCAGCAAGATATTAGGGACAATTTATACGTTACATGAACCAGCAGAAAGCTGTTTTATAGGGATCATCTAAATCATAAAGCATCTCTAGTCCAGCACCATGCATTGCTCCCAGTGGCTAGTACTAACGTGAAGATTGTCTATACAAAGGAAGGATTCTGGTTTCTCCTGTGTGGAGCTGCTCTGCTGTGCATTGCACGGGGCTGAAACAATGTCTAAACTGGATTTTATTGTCTACTAAAACAAGAAAACTATTGTGAAGAGAAGATCTTGCTTTAATGATATGTTAGCTGACCCTTGTGCATTCTATTAAAATGTTTAGCTACATGGCGGATGCTGCTTAAACCCCTGTTTCACAGCTAGAGAAACAGTTGTCTTAGAGAAGTCAAAGTGAGGATTTTTAATTCCACAAGATGAACCCAGATTATGAGTGGTATTTGTGATACAAAGGAAACCCAACAGACCAACAATGTACAATTCATTTGGAAAGTACAAAGTATGTATGAGCATAAGCAAAATGTAGTGCACACAAGATCAGTATTTGTTTTGTCATTATTTGTTTTTTGGCGCCAGGCTAAGACCTTTTCATTTAAAACTTACTTTAATTGTTTATTTATTTATTTAACTAGGGTTGTTTTTTTTTTAATTTTTAGCCGAGAATGCCCTGAGGCTTTATTGAGGTTTTATGGCACTGGGCTTTTATTGTATTGGAGTTTTATTGTATGGTTTATTTATTGATGTTGTGAGCTGCCCCGAGGCTTTATTGCAATGGGGCAGCATAGAAATGTTTTAAATAAATAGTAAATAAATAAATATAATTATCTTATCTAAATACAAAGAGCTTCAAAGATTCAATTAGTGAAACATCATCATTTACTGCAAGATAGTATTAGGAATGGGGGGACGGGACTGAAACCAGATCAAGCACTCTAACACCATTTTTAAAAGTGTTCCAGCCACTGAGCCAAAGACAGTGTGTGAATTCAAGGAAGCTTAAACATTCGGTGCCGTTTAGGCCTTCCAAGTGCTGTAAAGAAGAAGAGGAGAGGAGGTGACAATGCAGGAAGGAGAAGAGCAAACCTTTAAAGAGCACTAAATTTTCATTTATTCTGTCAAATATGTTTCAGTTAAAATCTTGTTCAGGCATGACAAAAGAGAATATTGGTAGTTTTTCCCTTTAATTGAAGCCCATTTGTGAGCACCCTGCCAATCTGCCTGTTGAGAAACCTGGAAGTTCCCTTGGGCAGAACATTAGCTGCTCAGGAAATATATAAGAAAAGATAAATAATGCTTGAGGAAAGGAAGTCAGTAGCTTCTTTCCTGGGGTTGCACGGAATTTGAGCTATGCCTACAGGCAGGTCATCCTTCAGAATCTTCAGCAGGCTGTTGTCGCCTAGCAAGTACAACATATAGTCTTTCTTTTAGCATCTGAGCAGAACAGAAGATTGTTGATCTCTTGGAAGGGTGCTTGACATTTCAGAACAGTGTGGACAAGGTTGCCATTTAGTGGCATGCCAAAACCCCTGAGGAGGCTGTAATGCAGAAGGAACGTGAAAAAAGAAGCTTGTCAAGTAAGCATCTCTGAACAAAGGCTGAACTTCAGAGGAGAAATTATGTAATTATGATCAGCATATCTGTTATGCGATACATTAATCATTTGTACTTTTTATTGATTTCATTAGAATGAACAAATTATATGCCAGCGTTCTATGTATCAGCTGAAATGGAAATAAACACCCCATTGAGAGAATCTAAGATCAGCCTTAATTGTAGTGCACTTAATGAGGAGTCTAGCAGTCTGTAGGAAACCAAGAAGGAAATTGCATGGCTCGAAGGAGTGAAAGACCTTAGGTGAAATGCTAGTTCCTGTGTAGTGATAACTATAGTGATTAAGCTTTAGCCGTCCACATATTTGGGTGTGTGAAAATGGTTTGTTGAGGCTAGCAGGAAAATGTAACAGATTACCCAATACAACTCAAGAGCTGGTGAAAACAATAGGAAACTTTAAGACCTCAGTGCTCAATGAATTGTCTGCTGTGCCTCTAAACCATCTGTATTTCCTTCACTTCCTAGTCAATGGAGGATGGTCAACCTGGACCGAGTGGTCCGTGTGTAACAGTCGTTGCGGAAAAGGCTCTCAGAAGCGTACGAGGACCTGTACCAACCCTACGCCACTCAATGGGGGTGCCTTCTGCGAAGGCCAGAGTTTACAGAAAATAGCTTGTACTACCTTGTGTCCAGGTATGTCAGATCATTATGATAAATCATTTGCATGTATTTGGTAGCCTTCTTGTTCTTCAAGCATCAAGGTTTTTTTAATTGATCACTTACATTTTTGCTTTTTTTTTTTTTTAAAAAAATGAGTAAATTCCCTATTGCATTACTTGGATACCGAGAAAGGAATAGAAACATTAGTAAATTAATTTGGATTATGGCAGCAAGTGGCCCATCATCTCAGTTCCTTATAATTCTGTCAATTTATGTAACATTTTAAAGCTCAGAATGTTCAAGACATGAACCTTAGAGCTGTCAACTTCACTGGAAATAAACTGGAATTAAAATATCTAAAATAATTCTGATGCAAAACATATTCATAAGCTCAGTTAATGGGCAGTAACATGCTTTGTTCAGTGAAGCTGAAAACATTTGAAGTGCTTGCATGGTGGCGTTTCCATTTTATCTTTCAGGAAGAAAAAGAGCATTCTCTCAAGGGGAAAAAAAACTTTTATAGTTACATTTTAAAATGCCTAAAGAGGTAATCCGGGGGCGATGCCTGGCACCATCCAAAACCAGAGGATTCTGGGCATCCTGTGCATAGCAGCAATAGTATGTAGGCTAAGGTCACCTCTGTACTTTTCTTGCTCTGCAAGGCAGCTAGACAGTCTAACTCCAACACTTTGGAGAAAGTGAGAAGCAAGCTGAGGCACTGTAAGGATGCACCATATCTTGATGGCACCCATCTCCTTCTCCCCCACCCTCTAGGCCCTTTCTCCAAGGTCACTGTTATGACCTCTGATCCACCAGCCTGTTTCTTTCTGCATCATCTGCAAGTGGGGAGGTCAACCTGAGTGCCGGTCCCCAGATTGGAGATCAGAATACTCTTCTGACTACGGAAAAGCCTCCTGCCCTCCAGATGTTCTCTTGAGGCTGAAGGATTGCTCTGTCCATTACCTTGGGCAAATACTTTTCTGCTTTCCTGCCCATGAGAGATTGTCACACTTTGCTCTCAGATTGATTTTGAAACAAACTGAGTTCTTGAAGTAAAAATCAGCCAAAATTTTCATCTTGTATCTATTTTTGAGCCAATGCAAGGTTCCTTTCATCATTTCCTTATTCCTCACCTGACCAGTTGTGGTATGAGCAGAAAGGGCACAGGGATAAGCTGGACATGCACATGGAAACATGTCATGAGCGAAGCCAACTGGAGCTGAGGGTTAGACTAGATGGCCCAGGAGACCCCTTCTGACTTGCTCTGTTTCTCTGTAACAGAGAGAAAGAAGGAGGCCATCTGACACACCTATTCACTGCTTTACCTTTGAAAGTTGGCCCTTGGAACTTCTGTTCCCCCGAGAGCAACTGCTGTTGTAGTCTCCCTTAGAAGACTACAGATCCAAGGTCCACCATCATTGTGTCCATTTTTTCTCTAGAACAATTCTGCACCAAAACACACAGACATACCATCTCCCATCTCTAGGCATTACTGTGTCAGCTACAAGTCATCTCAGCTCAGTATCCTATAGACCAAAGAAGGCTTCAAAAGGAGTGGCAGTCATACCAGTAGAAAAATCCCCCCAGAGCTCTGGAATCCATTTGCTTCCTTGAGTGGTTTCTTGTTGAAGGCACAGGCTGCCCAAAGTCAAAACCTCAATGTGAAGTGATCTGACCATAGCAAGATAACAGATGTTAAATTCCTCAGTTTCTCAGTATTATTATCTGTCCTGGCCAAAAGTAAATAAAATAATAAAAATAGAATTATTAAAATTAAAAGTATTGAGTTAAAAGTAAGGTCTCCTATATGTAGTGGGGTGATGTCTTGTTGCATTCAGAACATAATGAGTTGTCCCAAATCCAACAGTCTAGTATGGAAGTCGAGTTTCCCTAATACAGTTATCCCTGGGATCTTTAGCACCAAATTTAATGGATGGCTTTGGGCCAGTCGCAGATTCTCAGCCCAACTTACGCCACTGGGTTATTATTTGGGGATAAGATTGATAGCAGGAGGAGGAGAACAATGTAAGCCACTTTGAGTTTGTCATAAGAAAAAAATCAGAATATAAATCTAATCACAGATAAAAAATAAAAATCCTCAGACCGTATCTATCAGCTCAAGCTGGGAGGGTGATAAACAGCAGGGTGGTTAAAGCATAAGCAGTTGACCCATAAATTAAATTTATGATTAAATTGGTCCAAAATAAACTCTCTTTCAATGATGATTATAACATCAATAGGGAAGATTTTGTTTTGGACTGATCTGGCATTCAGTAACAGCACTACAATACAGACTGTTAAGGCAGTCAGGAATTGCCTAGTTAGGGAAAGACTGGGTAGACAGGACATGTGCAAGGTGCTTAACTGCTCGCAGCAACTGGCTTTTTAACTCCCATGTCTTACGAACATATTCCAGAACATTTAGTCTGGCATTCTGTGCATCAGTGAGCAACCAGCTGCCCACAGGAACCCATGAGCAGGATGAGGCATGTCTCTATTTAACTTTGACCACCTTAAAGGAATACCCAGGCTATACAGTCGCCACCATCTTTTTTATAGTCCTCTGATGCAATGATCTTGAGTGGAAGACAGGAAAGAACAGACATCTTCTTTCTCCATGTGCCACTGATATTTGTGATTGCACAGGCTCTCGCAAAGCACAATGCGGAATGCATGGTAATCAGCAGGCAAAGGGCTGATGCACATACTGGTTTATCAGCAGAAAGTGCTGATTGAGAAGGACGTCAGGAGAATTCAGGATTTCTATTATTCTTTTTTCCTTTGAAAAGGACATTTTAAGCCCTCTGAGTTCTCTTTGTGTGGTTTGGAAGAACTTTGCTAGAATATAAAGCAAGGCACCATTACCCTACTGAAGCACAGTACAGTGTTCTCTGTAATGCTTCTGTGATAACCATTTTGGATTTCATGCAGAGCTTTCACTGCCTGCATTCTCCTGGGCCTGCCCTATTGTAAAGTATCCAATGACATGGCTTTTCTGGCTCTCCACAGGTTGCACTGTTCCTGCTTCTGGCAATGGTAGTCTGTGAGAGGGCAATTAAAGGCTTTACAATGAGGCACAGGAGAGTATGGGAGGAGAGTGTGGGTATCACTGACATGCTACCGACCAAGAATGGAGTTGGAGAAAGACAATATTAGACTGCAGTAAACTTGGTTCTCCTCTTGTTCTCAGTAGGTGGAGCAATCAGGATTGGAAAAGTCTTGGAAACCTTTGTCTGTCGTGTGTGTCTAGGGCTTTGAAATTTGTACCATCAGTGGATCTCTCCTAGTCCCCATATATAGAGCATCTTTCCAACTCACAGAAGCAAAAGGACAGGTGACACTTCTGTATCAGTGCTCACATTCAGTGAAGCCACTGGATCAGAAGTTCTGTTTCTATGGTGCCTTAATTAATCATTACAGTATGGACTGTTTGGATTAGCAAGTTTTTCTGCAAAACTAGTGGTACAAATGCTAGTGAAAGGTTGGTCTTGCAGTTTTCTATGACACGGGATCCTTTTATTAAAGCAGGAAAACATTTAAAGGATTGGACACCTCCTCTTACTGCAGTAGTACCAAAATCAAAGATCCAGGTTGCAAACACTCTGACTGGGAGTGTTTGCAACCTATTAGAAAGGATTTCATTTGTACATAAGCTCTGTGTGAAGCCTAAGTCATATTCTCTGGGGATAACAATGTCAAAAATTTCTCCTAAGACTCATTGTAGCATTGCACTCTAACTGTCTGGGCTGTTCCTCCAACAAACAAGGCAAATGGAGAGGAACAGATATAAAATGAAACATGGTCGTTGACTTTAGGCTTGGGAATGTTTTCTTTGGGCTGAGTTAGAGTTGCTTGCATCTTTACGATCTGTAATTTTGAATAAACAGAGCATCAGTTTTCTCAAAGGTTTCTGTGCCCTTCACACACAGGAAACTCATGTTATTTTTAAAGACTCTTTTTCTCTTTAATGGCATCTCTCTCTCCCCCCTGCTCCCTCCCCACCCCTTTGCCATTTTGTTTTCACATTTTCTTATGACAGTGGATGGGAGGTGGACAGCATGGAGCAAATGGTCCACATGTGGGACAGAGTGTACCCACTGGCGCAGGAGGGAGTGCACGGCACCAGCACCAAAGAACGGCGGCAAAGACTGTGAGGGTCTTGTCTTGCAGTCCAAGAACTGCACAGATGGGCTGTGTATGCAGAGTAAGTGAAGTCCATTAATGCTGCTACATTGACATTATGCTTTTCAAGGGTGGGTGTCGGGAGGGGAATAGCTGTTGAAGAACATACTAAAACTTCAGCATTCTCAAGCTATTGAAAAGGGTCTCCTATAAGCATGTATTGGAGGAGATCCAAAGGGAATTCCACAGTTTGACCACAGAGCAGGAAAAACAACAACCCTACGTTCAAAAGATTTGGCACCACTTGGCAGAAACAACTCATGTTCTTTGCTCTGTTAAACCACTTGGGAAATGTTTAGGCTGTAGTTTCCTGGGTATTGCAGGCAATGTTCCCTTCAAAAGACATCAGAAATTGCCTGGGATTTTGCACAGCAAACTATTCCTTTTTTTTTTTAAATTTATACTAGAAGGAGATCAGTTTAAGTGGTGGAAAGTTCTTGGAGGGCTTTTCCAGTTGGAACCTGATAAATCTTTGCCCCAAAAAACCTTTATGCATTGTCTGACCAAGGGGTAGTAATGGACAGATCATTCTATTTCTATATCTATTTCTGTATCAGTTTTCCATGTGTTCATTTGCAAGTCTATTCCATCACATTTCTACATTTTTAAATACCTGCATGAAAATTCACAATTAAATATGCAGTTCTAAACACATTTTCTCACAAAAGATATATTTCTAATGGTGTAATCCACTTTGCATCTACTAAGAAATAAGTAGACCACTGATTTCAGTAGTCCTTCTTCCTAGGTAAGTGGGTACAGGATTGCACCCTGTTTTTCTATATATACCTTTTGGTACTTTTTAAGTTAAGAAATAAACTTATGAATGTGTCAGAGTCTGAAGAAAAACTGTGTTTTGATATATACATTAGTCCAAGAGATACAGACCAGCTTATCTTGGAATGAGCAAAGAACAAATTCATCAAGTATCCCATTAGGGAGATAAAAGCCTCACTGGATAAGAGCTACTTTTCTGCTGATATGAATATCTGCATGGGATGAAATTGGTCCTACATATGGTTTCATTAGGAAAGATTGTGATCATGGTACAATATTCTTTCAGGTCTCTGCTTAGATATGTCTGCTGAAAAGTCATCTTAGGTTCCAATCCTATACATATATTCCTGGGATTAAGACTCTGAACTTCATGGGAATTACTTCTAAAACTGACACGTATAGGATTATAAGGTTGGGCTATAATCATAAACACACCTATCAGGAGTAAACCGTGTTAGGATTTGCTTCCATGTAAAACTTTCTAGGACCATCCTCATAGACCTGGTTCATATAATATGGCATTTCACCAACTGGGCTCCAGTGGAGCATCATACAGAAATGATGCCCATTGGTGCCCCATGTGATGTCAGAACTCCAATGTGTAAATTAAGGTATTAGTGCATCATTATTGTGTCATTTCTCCATGGTGCCCTATTGGAGCCAAGCAGCTCATGGCTTGTTGAGCCCAGGTGACAGGGACTGTTTGAAGGCTAAATAATCCTACAATAACCCATCTTTTGATTTTACAGGTTTTTGAGTTGTTTGAAGGTTTTTGACCCTCAAACAACTCCCATCACCTGCATTGTCACGACACAACAAGCCACAGTCAGCAAGGCATGCTCAGGTGCCATCAAAGATGACACTTACCAGGATGCCACAGCCTCCATGGGTGAACTAACCTATGGTGCATTGTCATGTCCTACAAACCAGGTCACTGACTGTATACCATTAATAGTTTTCAGAGATTGTGTCCACACTGGCTTTGGATTTATTTCAGTCATTCTGGGTTGTGGTGTATAATGTGCATGCTGAGTTGCTTTTGAATAACCAAATATAAGGAAACCATGGGCTATATTAGGATTGTGTGTAATCTGTTAACCACACCAGCAACCCACCCCCATTAGGTTCAGGAGAGACAAAAGGCATAGTAGTGGCTTGAATATTCAAAATGGCCACCTTGCTTGATTTTGCAAACTGACTCAGGCACTTGGGCTGCTATAATAGAGTGGCAATTGCCCATGAGTAAGCACATAGTATTTTTTTCTGTCCTGCCTATCCTACCTGTCCAGACCTATGAATTTAGTTTGTGAAGACTGTTGAAACACTGCAGAAATCAATATATTCTAAGCAATGCCCTTATCCTTTACTTTTCTCTTTGGTTCAGATAACACTACAGATGACTAAAAATTTATATCATGTAATCATCATCATAATACTCTTCTCAGGGTGATCTTCTGTGTTGAAAGGCATTTTGTAGGCTAGAATTCATAGGGAGGCAAAATACTTCTGACTTTAGAAAGAGACAAACTTCAGGGATACCAGGGTATGGGGGTAGGTCTCTTCCAAAGTTAACTGCATGACAGTTAAGTCTTTGAGGCAAAAGAACTAATTCATGCAAAACTCCACTAGGATGAATGAGCCATTATGATAAATTAGCAGGAAAAGCTATTTCTTTCATATCAAGCAGCTTATATTTTGTATTATCAGCCTGTATTTAGACAGGTGTGTCACCCTTGTATGAATGAAAAGCAGAACTATTTAAGTAGATATTTGGAGAGGTGTAAAATAAAAAGAGCAGCCCTGTAGGTATGCCATTATTATGTAGACAGCATGTTGCTTTTTATTTTCAAAAATAATAGCTGAATTTGAAGTCTTTGCCCTCTCCAAGAGAGTTGGTGATGCTAATATAAATGCTTTTCTAATACGGGTACATTATAGGAATAGAAGACATTCCTGCACCAAAAATGGAGATGGGAAAATATATAATTTCACAGTCACCTTCTTGACCTATTCTTCTGTTCATTTTGTGTCCATGTAGTCAAATTACTTCTGATTTTGCTGCTACGTTTCAAGACAAAGTTGTAGGTCAAGATGGCCTAGGAAGGAGAAACAGGGTCATTTCAAGCAAAGAATACAATGCCTCTCAGAACCAATTTAAGCATTAAGCATGCTGTTTGTTCTCTTTCTCTCTCTCTCTCCCGCCCCCCTCCCCCCGCCCACACACACACACACACACAAATAAGAAACTGTCCACATAAGAAGCAATCCAGAGAGCTGGCTGGCTATAGGAACGGTATAGAAATTGTTTAAATAAATAAATAAATAAATTTTAAATTAAATTAAATTAAATTAATAAAATAAATAAAATAAAATAAAATAAAATAAATGATATTGAAGAGGCAAGTATGGAGACTCAATTCAGATTGCGATCACAACAGGGCCAAAAGGTTAACACATTGTACTCAGTGAGACTAAGTTCCTAATCCTGATTGCATCTCCTGTGCTTACATCTGAGTACAGAAAAGAAAAGCCATATCTAAGTCCAACATACCCTTGTCTTTTTCTCCATGAGCATTGTTAGAGCCTAAGCTGAATTTAATGCTCAAAATGAAGGTAAGCGTTGTTTTGTTGCTAGCTGTCATGGAGTTGTTAATGGCAATGATCCTCAATTATTTTATTTATTTATTTATTTATTTTTCAATTTATATCCTGCCTTTTTCCTACAAAGGGCTCAAGGCAGCTTACATCATTCTCCTCCTCCATCTTATCCCCACAACAACAACCCTGTGAGGTAGGTTGGGCTGAGAGTCTGTGCCTGGCCCAAAGTCACCCAGTTGGCTCCATGGCCAAGCGGGGACTAGAACCCAGAACGTCTGAGTCCCAGTTCCACGCTCTTAACCACTAATTAGCATATGCATAGGCAGACCCAGGAATTCCAGGTTTGCTGACAAAGAGCAAAGACTGCCAGGCCTGCCCGATAACTTGTACTTAGCAAAGGTCCTGCTTTTACCTTACTTTTGCATAAGTAGATGGAGCACCAGATGTTGCCACTCACGTAAGCCAACCAAGTCTTTCTCCTTTACCTGGCTCAGCTGTGGAAGAGATAATCCTGTTCTTGGCTTCTTTGCTAATCCAAAGTAGCTCTTGCAACATATACCTAGTCATGAACTGGTTCTTTATTTGGAGGAGAGAATGGTTACCCTTTTCTCCCAAACTCTGAATGTTGTGTCAGGGAACTCTGTTGACCAGGATACTGTATTAACTTGGCTGCACAAGCCACATACTTGCTCCGACTCATTTGGACCCTTCTTGTGGCTTTAGGTATTTGTTACCATGTCCATTGAGATGGCAGGTGATCATGAAAGCATCTAATGCCTGTTAGGAAAAAGTATTCATGGCACTTGCCATACGAAGCTGATCCTTGAAGAGGGAGAGAAGGACAATCTCATACAAATAGGATTTATTTTTATGTTTTCAGCTGTGCTCACACAAAGCCTGGAATTGAACAGAAGCAACCAAAGACACCGGTGTTGATAAACAAGTATTCCAAATTCTTTTGGAAGGAAGCATAGATGGAGAGGTTAAAGATATGCTCTGTCTATAGAAAAGGACTAGGCTGAAGTAATTGGTCAGCCCTATGGAGTTGAAATCATAGTAAATGGAAAATGATAGTTTCGGCCATACAGATGAATCAGTAAAAGAATATTCTTATAGTCTCTCCTTTTCTCACACGCACAACCAATGTAAGGTAACTGTATAAATACAGACATCCTAGAAAATATTGCTTTGCATTTACAAGCCTTTTCTCTTCCAGTGCATTATTCACTACAGTAACATCAGTCAGGCAGATCAATAAGCTCTTTCATACACCTAGCCCTACTCCTGTGTAAAGTAGCAGTCTCAACTGGTATTGATTTCTTCAGCGATAAAAACTGTGGAGCCTTGCCTGTTCCTTCACACCCCCTCCACCCCTCGTAATTACAGTATTTTTCACCCAACGATGTACTTTCTGCTTACCGCTAACTGAGGTATTTCTGGTGCAACTCGACTGTCACATTTATTCAGACTAATGATCCTGCCAGTACACAGACTTTCTCATTCTGTAGTTAGTATTTCCCCCCTAACGTAAAAGGATGAATAGTCATTAAGCCAGCATGCTCTCAGAAGGAGTAGGGGTGGAGGGGAGAGAGAGATACAGAACTGAAAACGAAAACTAGCTATAGCAAAAATTTTGAACTGCCGCTA